ACCACAAGGGCGGCAAAGCTCTCCCTCAAGAGTTTTAACATTGTTGCATTCCCAGGGCTCGAACACGAGACCACTGGTTAAGCTGGAAGAGACCCAAGCCATCTCATCCAAGCGCTATTGGGTAATTGAAGTATGTAGTTCACAAGTAATTATTGAACATATCTATATAAAGAGACAACCTATTTACCAAAAATAATAACAACAAAAGTCAACCAGCATTTATTGCATTATATTTTTGGCAGTTTTTATTTTTATTTTTTTTAAATTATTCCTAAAAAACCCATTCAACTATATATTTATCCTAAATTCATGAGTTTTGTTTATTTAATTAATTTAGGTAACATTCGACTGATACTTACAATTTTGCAAAAGTCAAACTTCTTTCTCATTTTTTATTTAAAAAAAATTGATTACCATTAAATCCAGAATTTCAATTTAAGCAAAATACTGTCACATATATCTTTTACTAATTGTAACAGATTATTTGTTTAAATCGGATTGCATAGAAATCGGGTTAAATTGTGTAAAAATCGTATGACAATTTTGTAAAAGTGAAAATTCTCTTATTACCTATTAAAATAATTGTTTACCATAAAAATGGAACTTTCGAATTAGACAAAATACTATAACATGTATGTTTGTCTATTGTAACATATCATGTTTATTAAAAAAAATATATATTGCATAGATATCGGGCCAATTTCAAATTGAAAATTAAAATTTAATAATCCTTATCATTTGGCTATTAGTTTCTTTAGTTCACTTTTTTTTAAACATAAAATAGAGTAAGATAATATTAATTTGTAATTGAAAATGAAATCGGATTAGAACATCCTAAAACTTTGGATTTTGTTTTATCCTCTAGAATACAAATTTGAAATTGATTGCATAGACTTACAAAATAAATAATGATTGCATACACTTACAAAATATCATATATATCCTGCTAAATAAATATTTGATTTATTTAAGCCTATCTTGAATCCTAATATAATTTGTGGTGATAGACGATGTACCAAAAGACCAAACAAATAATATTTTGTACAATGATATGCTTGATAATATATAAATTACATTTTGTTTATTCCAGACATTCGTTTTACGTTCATCCAATCATCCAAATTTAAATGTTTACCTTAATAGAACTAGCTCGTGCATCGCACGGGTACCACACTAGTTTAAAGCTAAAGTTAAGACACATATAAATGTAGCACAACATAGGTAACTAAAATAAAAAGTAACTCACTTATTTGCACAAATCACTGTTAAAAATATTATGGCAATTATGTAATGGCATTGGTACAAACAATTAGCAACATCTACTCTTGTGATAATTGGTTTATTTAAACACTAAAGTTGCTTAAAAACTAATAACAATGTAAATATGTTAAAATTAAGTGTAAAATTTTGTAATAAATTGGTATATTAAATATATATATATATATATATATATATATATATTAAATACAATATTTCATATATTTTGGCCGGTATTTTGTGGTATGAAACCGGTATAAAACGGTATTTTTCCCAAATGGCATTTAGAGGGTTACTGTACCGGTCTGTCAATTGTATCTGATATTACTATCAATACTAGTTGGTATGCTATTTAAAACATTGTGTTTGCCTGTAAACATACATGTCAATTTATTTATTTTTTTAGCAAGGATTTTTGTGTGATCTTTAGCATTAGCATGTTTGTTATTGTAAATTGTGTCATGAACTAATTGTATTTAGGTAATTAGCATATATAATATCTTATTTATATATAATTTATTTTGGTTACTACAAATGGTACTAAAATTGTTTCCTTAAACTTTTTTTTTTTAAAATAATGTGATTAGAAATTATTATGTTTATGTACATCAATTCAGCGTCATTTTAAAACTATCAATGTAATTTTAAAAGTTTTGAAAAGTTAAAATAAATTTTTATATTTATCTTTAAATATTTTTTATGTAAATATTTTTTAATTCAATACCCGTGTAGTACAAAAAAGGGTCTTTTAATTTACAATTTTCTTTTACGTTTTATATGACTTGATGTTAAGAATGATTGAATGAACTTTCTTTTCAAGGTAGCTCCCCTTCTCGCCGCCGTTTCGCCTTCCTCGTCGACGGCGATGCCCTAGGTAGAGGTCACCTTTGACCGCCCGACTTGATCCTGATGCCACGCGGCTTGTGCAGCTGTCAATCTCCGTGTGGCCTGCCCTTCGATTGTCGGATGTTCAACGGTTGGCGGCGGCTTCCCCTTCTACGGACTCCGACGGCTCGTCGTCGGGTGAAGGTGAAGGTAAGCTCATCTCTCTCTGTTCCGTCCGGGATTGTTGTCCCCCTTGGATTGCTCTTCTTCTACGGTGGGCCGTCGGGTGGGGTTTGGTGGTTTCCGGTTGTCTACGGTGGCCCGGGTGGTGAGTGGGTCCGCGGATGGATCGGGACACCAGCGGCTGTGGCGTCCTTCGTCAGGGTTGTCGGTGTTGCAGAATTGGATGGCTCTCCCCACCTCCGGTTCTCTGGTGTTGGGGACTGGGTGGGTCCAGCGCTTCCAAGCTCGGCTACTGGTGTTAGACGAGGTTGGGTAGTGCTTGAGTTGGGAGCTGGTCTTGTTCTCTTGGTTATAGGTGGGTTGATTCGAGATGTGTTCGGGGCTCAGTGCCGCTTCTGTATAGACGATTACGCAGTTTTTGGAGTTGTTCCTTAGACTTGGGATCGTCTTGGGTCGACTGTTTCTCCGCTGTTTTGGGCTCGTTTGTTGGCTAGGGAAGGACCCTTTTTTTTTGTTGCTTGAGTCTGTTTTAGTTAAGTATTTTTTGTCTGGGCTATTTGTCTGAGTGTTTTATGTATCTTGGTCCCTATGTTAATTACCCTGTGGGGTCGATCCTATTTTCCTGTGGGGAGCGATTCTAGTTGTTGGTAGTGTTTTGAGTCTTTTTTTTATTCTAGCTTGGCTAGTTGAGATTTTAGGCGGTCATGTCCTCTCAACTTTTAGTTGATAGTTGTCTTATTCAGCTATGGGTTGTATTTGCACATTTGTGTCTTTTGATTATAATAATGTGAAAAAAAAAAAAAAAATTAAGGTTAGTACGGTCATTTGATCTGGAATTCTCTAGAACGTATGCACACCACACTTACAATGTACCCTCTCTAGTCTGCGCTGCGCATCACCAAATTCATTTTCTTTGGACTTCAAATACAAATACCCATTCCTCAAAACCCTATTAAAAATCCCCAAAATTCCAGTTTCGATTTAAACCCTAATTTCGCTGCCTGAGAATTGGGATAAACGAAAAAAACCAGTGATTGAACTATCAAGATCAGAGATCAAGCAGATACAGGAATACATATCTACATACAGCTCAATCAATTGAGTTTTTGCTGTTCAATTGTTAATTCGAGTGGAGAAGAAGATGTCGGCGAGAAGGAGAGTTGGGGAGGAAAGATTGTATTACAGTCCACCAGCGATGAGAAGGAACAACCAGAAGCAGCAGCAGCAGCAACAACAACAACAACAGCAATCGAAGCTAACTAAGTCTTCGCATTCATCATCACCTGAAAGAAGAGGATTCGAGTCAGATTCGTATTTGGATCGGTTCTTGGAGCACACTACTCCTTCTGTTGCAGCTCAGCATTTTCCTAGGGTATTTTTTTTTCATTTTATCTTTTTGACTGCCCAGAATAGTTATTTAGTGATTTTAGTAACTTTGAATAAATGGTGAAGTATAAGGGCGAACTTTTTTTTAATAATAGAGGTGTGGCGATGAAGTTGTCTGGAAGTGAATGAGAATCTATTTCGTCTTTTGTTAATTAATTTGTTAAAATGTTTATTGTTAGCTGGGTTGGGTAACATTTATGTTTGGCATTGGGCCTTTTTATTGAAACTTCAGCTTGTTAATTAAAAACAAAGTTTAGTGCATTTTGAGGTTAATAAAGAGCCATTCTTTGCATTCTGTTGTTAGTATATAATATCTTTTTAAGTATAGGTCAAGATTTCTTGGTCAGATTAATCTCTCTTGCAATCTTCTGTGTATGTAGTTAGTTCGGTGTTCTTTTTGTGTTTTGCGTCATTTAATTAAATAGATGGAGTTTGGAATCGCCTCCTAAGATCTTTTGGTTCTTCTTATTGATGGAATAAGCTTCTCAACTTGAATAAGAGGGAGGAAAAAAGATGCATTTGAAATTTGGGTTCGTTGGGAATGTCATGTTGTCCCAACCTCATCTTGCCTCACGTTGAAGATTTTAAGTGGGGATTTTCAGAGTTGTAGATGTTCCTTTACTCATTAGCTTGACATTTGTGTTATCGATTGATGGGAAAAGTTTGGGTTTTGTTTAACCATGTATAATAAAATGTGTGTAAGCTTTATTTTTGTTTTGTTGCACCCTCTATCCTCTGATTTGTAGACCGAATACTATCCATATGATATCTTTTGTGAGCACCTGCCCGAGTCATCCAAATAACTGAGCAAGTTGAAAGATTTTGTGCTTCTGTGGAACATGGAGTTTTGATACCTTTGTCCTAATCCCTTCTTCTCTATCTCTGTTAAACATGTATATCAGCTGATTCCCTGCCCTTGTTTTGTCTATGTAATTTTCTTTAATCTATGTGGATATTTATTAGTTCATAATCTTTTAGGTTGTGCTTCTTTGTGGCCTTTTTTTTATTCTCTGTGGTGCTGTTTATTTCCATTCAATGACTGCGTTAGAGATATGAGAAATATATCCTCTGCCGTGAATATGGTCATCAGCACAATTCATTAAAGTATCTGAATCATATATCTGACCCGCAACTTGTCTTATACGCTACAGTCATGCATTGAGCTTGATCTAGGTTTACATTTTAAAATTATTAATTTTGTTGTGAAACTAAATATGAAGCATCTGAATATCTGCAGACAAGCATGAGGTTGTGGAGAAATCGTGGTAATGGGTTCCATCCGTATTTCATACTTGGGGACCTTTGGGAATCTTTCAGGGAATGGAGTGTTTATGGGGTTGGAGTTCCTCTTCTTATGAACGGGAATGATTCAGTTGTTCAGTATTACGTACCGTCCCTGTCTGGTATCCAGCTCTATATAGATCCAACGAGCCACGTCATGGACCAAAGGTTGGTCTATTTCCTTTTTTTGGCCCCTTCATGTTCCTTTCCGATATCTACTCTTTTATTTTCCCTGCCGAATAGAGCATTGTCTGAATGATACTTTAATATGTTTTTGAATTTTTTCGTTGTTTCTTCTTTCATTTGTGTTTACTAGAAACTTTCTAGTTTCTTCGCATGTTATACTTGCAATTAGTTGATAATTTTTATGCAATGCTGGAAAATTGATTGTCAATTTTAGTGCAATGGCGTATATCTACTATGGACAGGATTCTTTCATGGTTACCTTGATATGCTGACATAGTTTTAGAATTGTCACAGAAGGCCTGGCGAGGAGAGTGATGCAAATTCGTCAAGAGACACAAGTAGTGATGGTGACAGTGGAAGTGGGACAAACTCAAGGGACAATAATGCACGAGTGCCTTCTGTTAGCAACCCTCCTGGTCTGCTTATTTTCGAGTACTTTGAGAAGGAGCTTCCATTTCATCGTGAGCCATTAGCTGATAAGGTAGGTGGCAATTATTATTTACATAATTTTTATGAACTTTCTATGATACAGTTGTCATACACTGAAGAACCCTAGAGATTTAACCAATTCTTTAGAACTATAAAAAATGGGTATATGGTTTCAAAAGATAATTTAAGGCTAAACTTAAATGATTAACATGATATATCAAGTTATCAACCATTTTTGTTAAAAGTTTTATAATTCATTCGCCATTCTACAGATGGCGAAACTTGCGTCCCGCTTGCCTGAGCTCATGACTTACAGAAGCTGTGACCTGACTCCATCGAGTTGGATTTCCGTTGCTTGGTAAGCGTTTTATTAGTGGAATCAAGAGGATTGGGTACTATGATCTATTTTTATTTGTACTGATCTAAAAGAGGTGTGGTGCCTTATTTATGCAGGTACCCTATATACCGGATACCTGTCGGCCCCACTCTACAAAATGTTGACGCCTGTTTCTTAACGTTTCATTCTCTCGCAAAACCCGTTAGAGGTTAGCTGCTCTTACCATCTTGTGGTTTAAGCTAGTTCCAAAAGTAATAATTAGATATCCATTTACTGTTTTTAAGTTACAAAACTTAAAGCCTTTTTATGGGTTACAGACACCCTCTTGAGATCTGTATTTAACAAAGAAATATCATCCTGGTGAAATTAAAGAGGAATTAGGTATTTTCAATTAAGTAAATTCTAATGTGTACAGGTGGCGAAAGGATACACGACGCCAATAACAAGCTTTCGCTCCCAACTTTTGGGCTCGTTTCATACAAGTACAAAGTCTCTGACTGGAATGGGAATGGAGTTTTCGAGGGCCAAAAGGTCGATTCGCTCTTACGGGCAGCTGACAACTGGCTCCGGTTGTTGCAAGTCAACCACCCCGATTACAACTTCTTCATGTCCCACAACACTTACTGGAGATAAAAAGAAAATTGTGGCCTGTTGTGTGAAAAGCATGAAGCTGTATGCTTGATAAACTTTTAGAAATATGCCAAGTGGTGTTATTATTGCAGCCAATATGGAATGCAGATATGGGAACTTTTTCGAAAGATGAAATGTTTTTCACCGGCTGTTGTTTTTGTGCCTGGTCTTTTCTCGGATGATGACGAATAGTACAATATGAAGACAGCATCTTGGCTTTCTACATAATGCTCAAGCATAGGATTGTACATTTAACTTGTTGAAAAATAATTTATGCTTTTATTAGGCTGTCAATTTGAAATTGTGTGTTGCACTTAAGCTTCAAGCATTTCTTTTTTTGCTATGCCGTTTCCGGCAAAACTATCATTTAGCTTTAGCCGGTCGATTTCATCACGTTGTAAATGTCATTTTAAAATTCTGGGCGCAGAGCCGACAATCAATTAAATTGCCGAGATATTAGATGAGCATTTGAGATGAACGAAGATTTGTGAAAGTTTCTTGATCAATGTGAAATTTTCGGAAGAGGTTAAGTTTCGTAGTTTTTATTCTTACGCTTTCCAAAGGATGTCTGAAGAAAGAGGCTACAATCAATAGAATTCCCCTAATATACAAACCTGACGCATACTGCATACATTAGCACTTACAATAACAACATAGTAATGGTGTCACATACATTAGGCAACCTCAGCCAGAGAAGTAAAATGCCAACTTTCCCAGAGTCGAGTTGTGCTCTAGCCTTTTACCTCTCCTGAATCTGATCTCCATATAGATTTCGCGAATAAGCAAACTACAGTTTGCTTATAACTTATCATCAGGAAAAGTAGACAGCAAAAGCCCTTGCACGAAATCACACCTTCGGGCCTTCTCTTTCAGGTCTTCTTCCGAGAGTCCAACAATTCTATTTTGTCGACAAACCAGTAAAAATCAATTAGTCACTCATAAGGTCCGTGGAGTTAAGAAAAAAAACAGGCATTTCTTAAAATTACAAAAAAACACGACTGATTAAATAAAATTCAAAAAGATACTTTAATACCTATCCTCAAGTTTCTGAACAGAGTGCTCGGCAGGTAAGCCAGCCTCAACCAGAGGAAGAGATTGAACACTAGAAGATTTGTCAACCACGGGTGAGCTGAGTATGAACGAGGTCAACACTGGATCGGGCTCTGTGTGGGCCGAGGAGCCCAAATGTGAGGACCCACCAAAAAGGGATTGCAGACTCCCATCTCTCAACTCTCTTCTAAGAATTGAAAACGGCGAATTAGTCCCTCTTCGCAGGAACCTCCTCCTCCGGGATACGTACTACAATGGTCAAGGAAAATAAGAACATGCATCAACCAATAATATGGGGTAATTTTGAAAAGGACAATGCTACACGTACCGCAGCTTGTACCGCAGGGTTTACACTTTGGTTAAAAAACGTATTCTCAGAATACGTTTTTCAAATAATTTAATTGAAAAACGTATTCTCAGAATACGTTTTCAATGAAGGGTACACCATGCGGTACAACCCCTGCGGTACAAATAGCATTTTCCTTTTGAAAACTACCCTCAAATATTAGCTCAAGTACAAAAACTTTGTCAGACTCTCAGAGTAGCAAACTACCCTATAAGTGCTAAAAACATAACGTCTTGAGAGTTCGCATGATGATCTTGCTATTGAGATGCAATTTGCAGAGTAAAAAATTGTCAGTTAGGTGCTTGTAATTTCATATTTTAAAAGGGGTTCCTTTGTAACTAGCCTAAACCTAAACATGAAGGAATGATCTAATCAGAAGGATATTTTAAGAACACTTGCATGCTGCCCGGTCAAATGGCGGACAAGATCCGACCCCACGTTTCTCGCACAAACAGGGCACACCTGCACATATGGAAAACAGTCATTTTAATCATAGCTTGAAAGTCCCATTCCAACTAGGCCCCAATAATATTGTGCAAAATCCAGAAATATATAAATTGCTAGTTATGAACAACTGAAAATACATAAAAGGTTGTATATTATTGTTTCCTTATATAAAATATTAATTTAAGATAAAAATCGGAATGATTAGAAAGAGTAGGACACGCAATTGTGTATAATTGTTATTTTTATCATATTTGTGTACTTCAAAATTTAGAGTGATAAAACTGCAAGCATCTGACAACACTGAAAACTTGGCTTTGCCAAAAAAGAAATAGATAATGAAAAAAGTGCTAAACGTTTGGAAAAAAACTAAGTTTGTAGAGATTGAAATAAATAAAAAATTATCCTAGATAATAATACGGAATTGGCTGTAATCATAAAAATTATAACTTTGTAAACAAATAACACTTTGTTGGCCGGGGTAGGGCTAGGCCAGTCAAAAAAAAAAAATGGTAAACAATGGGAATGTGTTAAGTACTCAATTAATAAAATATGTATTAACCAGACAGACATCATAAGTACATTACAATTTGGTACTTCAGAAACTGAATGCACATAACAAAGTGCAGACATTTATAGTCTTCCAAATCTACCCGTCAATCGTCATCATTTCTTGATGTAGGTGCCATTTTGCTCAAATGTCAATGCTTTGAGAAATTATAACTCATCATCATCAACATCATCAACATACCCAGTATATGATTTTGTGAAAAAGGAAGATGAAATGATTTTGTGAAAACTAATAAATTGCATGGAAACAAGATAGCCGTGGGAATATTGTTGAAGGTAGTTCCTAAAGACTTCATATGCATGCACTTTATGGCTACATCTAAGCAACATACAACACGACTTTCGACAACATACCGTATCAAATTACAAAATTCTCAAAAACTAGGACTTTTATGCAACACAACAAAATAAATAAATAAAAAATAATAAAAATAAAAATCATTGAGTTCACTTACTTCCATTTCCTCTAGGAGAAAAAAATTGTCTGAACACCTATACACAAGTTAACAAACACTGCTTCAAAGGCCTTAAAAATTGGTGGCTTAACTTATTCCTAGCTAGCTCTGTGGCAAGATATCAAACTATTTTTATGTTCCAAGTGTGATATTCTACTTAGTTTAAGTTATAAAATCTACATTAGATAAAAATGAAGAGCATGACATAAGTGAGATCCCTAAAACCCTCCAGAGTTCAGTCTTTCGATCGGTCAAAAATATCATTTACCTTACCAAAAAACTTTAGTTTCAGAATAGTACAATACTTGATAAATATGCCATGAACACACAACAAGCACAATACAAGAACAAAGAAAAAGGATTCAATATCTACCCCATTCTTGGCCGATACAGGATGCATTTCATCTATATGACAGCAAAGGCCCACCATGTCAAAATCCTCAGCGCAAAATGGGCAAAGATACTCAGGATTCGGCTCCTCTTCCACTTCGTATCCTTCTCCATTATATACATCTGAAAAAAAAATGAAGTCAAGAGAAAGGGGGATGGTGAATAAAACGAATACGAACCAAGTTTCATTTTGTAAAATGCCAATCATATGAACAACAAGATTCAATATTCTGGACAAATATAGGAATTAGAAAACAATTTTGATCGTGCTTCCGCATACAACAAGTCTGTCTCAACTTCTCAAGTTCATTAAGTTCTTTGATCATCATCATTGGCATCATAACCGTAAGCAAGTATAGAAAACAGTGTAATCATTTATTTCATCTTAGTTATCTTACCCTAAATATATAACCAAAACTAAGAACCCTAAACAGGGCGATGCGTTTCCAACGATAACAAGAATCAAAGTATCAAAACGAGTTCCAAGTTCAAACCTTTACAGTCATACATATGCAAAACTTCCAAAATTCATCAGCATATAAAAGAAATTTCCTCACATTCATGCACATCTCTCCACAATATTCTTGAAATTAAACAACCCTCTTCATAACAATCACAACCCAGCTCGATTTTCTTGAATAAAAATGTGTAAAATTACACTTCCATAAAATCCACCTTACATAGTTAGCTCAAAAAAACGTGTTCATCTTTCCGAAACTTCGTAAAAAAAAACTCTACAAAAATATAAACCTGATCGGGTTAATCGACGCCTCGAGTAAGTAGCAATACGAGCCCATGAATCGGAGTCCATTTCAGGTCAGGAAATTCACACAAATTTTGAATCTTGAGAAAAAAAAAAAATTAAACAAAAGAGCAAAATTAAATGGATCCCAGATAAATTCTACGCCCAAAATCGCCAAAAATCCACTGACGACACCGACAAATAATCTCACACACTACTCGAACTGATGAGTGAGAATGGAGGATGTGTTGTGATTATCTAACGCTGAGAAAACGTGTTGGCTGAGAAAGAGAGAGAGTTGAGAGAGAACGGCCTGAAAAAATGAATCTTTCCACCAAATTTCGGTCAGATTTTTGGAATTTTATGTAGTCTGCTTGTTAGTTGTTGCGAACCGTATAAAACAGGGCAGGATGTTAATAAAATTATCGACAGTGCCATCACCAAAAAGGAAGCATAATCGAGAACAGTATATGAAGCACTATGTACTCAACAGCTAGCCAGGCATAAATTTTGGGAAATTATATGGTCCCCTTACGAAATTATCCCGTCAGTTTGTAACTGTTAGATCATTCTTTAATCGTGGGGGATAGTTGACTTAACGAATACAAACTTCGACGGAATGGTTCTGTAACGGGACCGTAACATCTCCTTGAGTTGATTTTAGTTTTTGGTTTTTACATTAAACATCTTGCATATTGGGAGAGTTTTGGTGTTTGTAGTCATTAGATCATCATATAATCGTTAAGGATAATTAATCCAACAATTATAAACAAAAATTGTTGAAAATGTAGCATCTCTTTGATCTAATTTTAGTTTTTAGTTTTTACAATAAACATCTTGTCTATTGGGAGGACTTTTCTAAAAGTTATTAAACGCGTACGTAGTAATAATTGATGCACTAAAATTACTTTATTACTTATTAGCGTAATGCCAAATAAACAAATAAACTTTTGAACTAAATTTAAGCATAAAAATGGTATATTCATCTATTCTTCCTTTTTCTAAAGGATTCCTGGACAAATTTTATTAAATATTATACTATCTTTTTTTTTTGGTTCAAATTTCTTTCCTTTTTAATTATTATTATATTACACATGTCAAATTATTATGCGGTTGACATTGACATTAACGATTAGAGTATTCACAATATTTTGAGTTTAATTGTTCTTATGTTACGTGTAAATAAACTCAATGCTTGAATGACTAGGATGTAACTAAATAAAAGTAAATGAATTTATTATAATGCAAAGCGATTGAGAGTCTCTAATTGAAATTAAAATAAACTTAATGGTGATGGGATTTTTTTTTTTTTTT